TGTCAGCTCCTGGCTTCCCTGGCCTTTATAGGGCCAGCTGGGTCTGTTTGGGGACATGGCCACAGCTGAGGTTGCCTCCCCAATCAGCCCAGCCTAAGGCTCCCAGCCTCAGCCCTCTCCAAGGGCTGGCTTTTAACCCTTTCAGGCTGGGAGCAGGTGACCACCCCGCTACACCAACATTTCAGTTTAAACACAACACTGGATTAGTTTGATTAAAAACTGAAACTTGTTTATTGAACAACAAAGAGGGAGATTTTAAGTGGGTACAAGTACAAGGCATTAAATCCAGAAATAGTTACAAGAGAAATAAAGAGAAAACACTTTCAGGTGCTAAAACTTACCAAACTAGACTTGGGTCATGATAAAATCCTTACCACATGTTCCCAGATAAAGGGCTGACCAACTCCTCAGGTCAGGTCCTTTCCCTAAAGACAAAGGGCTAGTTTGGTGAAAGAGAGATGATTTGGGGTGGCTTTGCCCCTCACTTTTATAGTCTAGTCACCTGCTGAAATGTCTGTTCCTGAGGGTTACTCCTAGATAAAGTTCATTCCAGGTGTGAAGATGGAAATCTGGAGTCTCATAATGAAGGAGATTCCATGGTGTTGTTTGCTACAATGCAGATTAATCTGTTGCTGCCTCCATCCCAGACACCTGACCAGTGATTGCTATTCAACTTTGGTGACACCTCACTAGAGGCATAGGCTTGTCCTTTGTCTTTGAAAAACAGGTCTCCCTCCTCCCCAGACTTGTGTGGTAACCACATTCCAGTCATAATTACAGTTGTTATTAATAACTTTACATATATTTCCCCATGATATAGAGTCATAGAATATCAGGGTTGGAAGGGATCTCAGGAGGTCATCTAGTCCAACCCCCTGTTCAAAGCAGGACCAATCCCCAGACAGATTTTTACCCCAGTTCCCTAAATAATTGACCAGTGAGTGATTACTTTTCAAATGAGACCTCACAAGGCATATTCTGTACACAAATTATTACAATGATGTGGACAGTGTGAATACAGGGGTGCATTCCATCACAGGCCTACATTATGAAGCCTGGAAAGGCTCAGTTTCAAATCCACTGAATTACCAGTCCTCTAACAGTGTTTGATTTGTTTGCCTTAGGCCCTGAGAGTTTCCAGTGGTAGAAACCAAGATCTTTCTGTAGTCCTTTTGGATGTCAAGGTATTGGAGCTTTAACCTCCCACTGATTAAGGGCTGAAATAGATATTGCAGAGTGTGACTCTCAAGCCAGTGTAAATTAGAAGCAGCTGAACTTTGGTTTCTTTTTCTTTAAAAGAGGTGGTCATTCAGAACTGCCCAGATATTTGGAATGGTAGTGTTTGTGCCAGTAGAGACACATTAGTGCGGGTAAAGGTCCACATTTCCAAGATAAATACAGTTTTATAACCTGGATATTGACACCACCACTATGGAGTGTGTGTTATGTAGTTTAGGCTGGGATTTTCTAAGGAGCCTAAGGAAGTTGGGTACCTAGATCCCAATGGATTTCAATGGGAACTAGGTACCTAACTCCCTTAAACTTCTGGAAAACTAGGACATATTGCACTAGCACTTAGGAGCACCAAGCATAGACCAGAACTCCGCTGTGCTCAATGCTGTACAAACACAGAACAAAAAGAGAGTCCCTGCCTCAAGAAATTTACAATCTAAATAACAAATTCTCCCCCTTGTTGGCAGTCTCAGCAGAGAATCCAAGGACTCAATGGGCCATGGAGACTGAGGGCACATCTACACTACCCACTGGATTGGCAGGTAGTTATGGATCTATCGGGGATCGATTTATTGCGTCTAGTGTAGATGCGATAAAATCGATCCCTGATCACTCTGCCGTTGACTCCTGAACTCCACCGGGGCAAGAGGCAGAAGCGGAGTCGACAGGGGACCAGCAGCGGTCAACTCGATGCCATCCTCACGGCCAGGTAAATTGACCTAAGATATGTCGACTGCATATCTTAGGTCGACCCCCCACTAGTGTAAACCTAGCCTGAGCTCCTCTCATCTTTACACAGAGGAGCATCCAGGTCAGAGCTGAGGCCCAATGGTTCAGGGCAGTGTATGTTGGGTAACCTGGCCCTGGCACTGCACTGGATGTGGGATAAACAGAGAGCTCAAGGCTCTCAGGCCCCTTGTCCATTCCAGCTGCAGGAGGGGGATCTCTGAACAGCCTGAGGAGTGTCTGGGGAGCAGCTGCCTGGGACTGGGAAAGGAACGTCAGCTGTGGTAGGAAAGCAGCAGTGACTGGATATGCTGTTGGAAAAGCAGCTATTTGCACAGGCTACTCTCCAATTGGATACAGTGAGGGAGCCATTTTACTACATAGTGAGTTGAAACATTGATGCAGCTTTGCATTGTGAACTGGTTACATTTAAAAGTCTAAAATCCAATTGTAAGAGCGAAAAGAGGAAAAAAGAAAAAGTTTTGACAAAAATGTTTATTCCATCCCTACAAGGGATGTTCAAAAATCCCCCAGTCCCTACAGCTAGGATAAGCCATGCAGATCAGGGCTGTGTGGGCTCACAGAGCAGAGACACTGGGGAATCTGTTCTGTACAGGAGGGGATTAAAGTTCTTTTCAGTCCTCCGCCCATACACTGAAAGTTGTTCCTCTTTCCTCAATGAATGAGAAACCTAGTGCCCTAAGTGACCATTTCACTTTTTTCTATTTTTCTTTCACCAGGAAGCCCCTTGGCTGCTTCTTCACTTCCATTGAGCTTTTAGGCTGGATCCTGCAAGCGGATGAGCATGGGCAGACTTCTGGATATGTGGGGGTCCACTGACTTCAGCAGGGCGCTTCATGGGGCAGATGTGAAGTCCAAACCCAGCTTCAGGGGCTTTGTTTCTTGTTTGATTCCTGAGCCCCTTGCCAGAATACTTGTGTTTTTTGGGCACACAGAGAAGGCATGTACTTTCAAACAGCATGGCTTTATTTCAGATTTATTTATAATTCAAGAGGATGAACCAAGAAAGAACCATAATAAAGTCTCGCTAAGAGAAATGCACTGAATTTCTTAGGTAGCAATTTGCCCCAGATTAAACACAAAATGGCAGCTGTTCTCCAGCAGGAAGTAGGGTTCTAGACATTTCAATAAGGAGCACAGAGGAAACAAAAATGCTTCACAAACACCAGAGGTCTCAGAATGTTATATAGGCCATGTCTAATAACTCATGGAGCAACTCCCCTTCCATCCATTCATGACTGCCTGGATTCCCCTCCCTCCACCATTAGCATCTCTGTGGCAGTGGCAGCAGCCCCTCACATGGAGAAGAAATACTAAGAAAGCATTTGATATATACTTTAACATCTTTTAATGCAATTTAGCATCTGTATCCTGGTCATTCCTTCCCAACCCTCCTCCCCCAGGAGAGATGGGCATTGGCAGAGTCCCTGCAGCTTGAGGAACTAAGAAAGCATTCAGTATACATCTTAACTTATTTTTAATACTATTTAGGAGTGGGCCCCAGTCCCATGTGATCAGACCGTTCTCTGTAGAGCAATTTGAGCAATGCATCCCAGTAATGCCCTCGTTATCAGCATATTGACATGAAGGCATGTTCCCCAGTGATGTGTGGATCACAGACAAAGGAAGGTAGCAAAACCATTGAAGAAAATTCAAAAATTTGAATTGGAATAGTAAGGTGGGAAAAAACAACAAACACACACATCAGCATATATGTAATTACTGTAAGAAAATGTAGTGCCCAATCTCCACAAATTCTGAGAGCACTTTAAGGCAGAAGCATAGGTGCCTCAGGGACTTCAGTGGCAGAAATGTAGGGATGTTAGGCACCTCCAGAGTTAGGATGCAGTTTAGCAAGTTTTCTGAGGATCTCAGTGGCTTCTGAGTTTTGGATTTAGGCACCTAAAGTGGGAGTTAGGGGCTCAAGTCCTTGTGTGGATCTGGGCCCAAGGAATCAATTTCCATGAAATGAACCAATATACACAATTGGAAATCTTATTGATGGTGAAACTGTCAATCTCACTCTCACCATCATTTGTTATTTCCTTTTCTTTCCATGCATTTCCCACCTGATTGTTTTCTCTAGAAATAATGTAATATCCCTGTTTATTTCTCTGCCTTATCAAATCTCATTAATTTACGGTTCTCCTCTGAGTCTCCATTTTTCACTCTTGCTGCATCCTCAGCTCTCTAATAGTTTTGTTTAGCTTGCTTTTATTATTATTCTTTCACCATGATTTTTCTTTTGCCTCTTGGCCAGCCTGCCCTGTCATGTTCTCTTCTCACCCCACAGCCAGCTCCAATCTCCCGCCCTGTGCCTGCCCACCATATCAGCTTCCCCAGTGGCCTCAAAGTTACTCTCCTCAGTCTCCACATTGCCCTCTCTGAGTCTTTCTCTCCATGTCTCTGACCCTGCAGTCACTTAAGTCCTCCAGTTGCATGGAGTATGGAGGCAAACAGAATAGACAATACCCTGCTTGTGTATCCTCTTGACACTCTGCTATCTCTGGTTTTGACAGTGCAGGAGCCCATTGAGATATCTGAGACATCTTACAAGTGCGTCACAGAAACTCTGTGCAGGACTAGACTGAGCACTAAGGCTCTCTTTGTCCCTATCTTTCTATGGTTTTACACAAGAACTTGCTGACTTGGTTTAGGGACCTCAGTGCAGGAGAGGGATCATGACAGAATCCTGAGCGGAAAGAGGTACCTCGCTCTGGCTTTCTGTCAGCATGTAAGGCCTAGGTAAATGGGAGTTAGGCACTTAAACACCTTTGAGAAACTGGGTCCTAAGTCCCACCTCTTGCCTCTGCATTTCACTCCTGGCTAGCTTAGGCATCTCCCCACCCCCCATAGTGGGGTCTGGGAAACTCTTTCTAAGGTGCCTAACTCTCTCCATATGATGCATGGGATTCCTGGGTGCCTTACTCAGGGCTGAGAATTACACTAGGCAGGGGTGCCTAGGAGTCAGGCACTATGAAGCCAAGGTACCTTTGTGACTCTGGCCCTGAGACCCATTTCACAGTTATAGTGAGGCTGCACAGTGTCAGGGGAACACGTCAGAGATATTGATCCCAATAGGAGATTCATCTTTTCTGGGACATTTCCCTACCCCCAGGCAGCTGTGATGCTTCTCCTTCACTCTCTGATGCAGCAGGGACCCTGGTCCCCCAGAGTGAGAGAGACAGAGGCAGGCTGGTTTGACATGAGCTGAGGCTTTGATTTTTCTATGTTCCTGCAGGAATGTGAGAGTCCTCCAGGGTCACTGGCAGACCAGGATTCCAGAGGTGAGAAACCTGTTCAACGGGACCCCAGGAATGTTTTATTCCTTGTCTCAAGGACACAGTCTGAGCCAGGTTCCCTTCCCCTCAACACAGAAGAAAGGGCAGATTATTTCCCCAAAGAAACAAGCTGGTGGGAAAGTGAAGAAGGGAGTCTCATCCTCAACATTGAAAAATGTCACCTGCCCCCCTTCATAGTCCAGAGAAACCCAGATCCTACTGAAAATACTACTCAGAGACAAGAGAATCTCAGGGCAGGTGAGGGCTGCGTACTGACCCCTTTGCTTCCGTAAAGCCCAGACCCCCTCCTCAGGGTTAAGCAGGATCACTCCCTTCCTCCTCACAGACTCTCTGACAACACCCACAACCCAATATCCTTCACCCATTTCAGCCCTGAGTTTAGCAAACATGCCTCCCACAGCCTGCAGCTCCACCTCCCAGTAATGTTTCCCTGAGGTGAATCCTTCACAGCCCAACACACAGCGAGAAGAGTCAAATCTCTTGGGACTGCTGGGCACTTTCTGCCTTCTGTCTCCCCAAGTCACACTTTTCTGGTCCTCAGACAAGACAAGGCAGGGATGAGCCGTGTCTGGATCCAGAGTCACATTTGCTGGGGACAGAGTGAATCAGAGCATTAGAAGCAAAACTCCGCTCTGGAGGAGGGTTTGATCATTCTTCAAGCTCTCAGGATGACATTTTAAAAGGTAGTCAGGTGCCTTTTTATGGGAGTTAGGTGTCAAATACCTTTAAAAATCTGGCCCTTACAACTACAGGGGCAGAATTAAGTGTGTCTGGGACCTGTTCAGTTAAGAGTGGTTTGGATTTTCCATCATTGGAATCTCTACATCAAGACTGCATATCTTTAAAAATAATATGTTGTAGCTCATACAGAAATTATGGGCTTGATGCAGGAATTGCTTGGTGAAATTGTCGAGCCTGTGTTATACTGGTGGTCGGATGATCATAAGGGTCTCTTTTGGCCTCCAAATCTATGGATCTATTAAAATATTTCTGTTTACTGGTGTCTAAGTGTGTGATACAGATCTCTCTCCTCTCTCTCTCTCTCTCTCTCACACACACACACACACACAGCTTAGTTTGCAACATGTTACTCTACTTTTCAGTGGAGTTTGTAAAAGTTTGTCCTTTTTTGATTGGCATTAGTTACTTTAAATCAATGAAGGATTTTTCTCGCTCTTATTTTAAAGAAAATAGCCACATGAAAACTTACTCTTCTCATCTGGTCTCAGAGATTGAAATAATATTTTCCTCACTTTTGATGACAAAGTCTCTAAGAAGAGAAAAGGGTAAAACTTACTGTCATAGTGATGTTATAGGTTATAGTGCTATCCCTATTAGTTCTAATTTGGTTTCTAACTGAACTAAGAACTAAATCTGCATAAGCCAATCTCAAATCACCTTTGCAATATCTAGAGAGGGATCTGCATCAGTTCAACTAAAAACACACTTGTAGTTTAACTGCTGCAAGTTTTGTGTAGTGACTGTCTGAGCCTCACAACCACGTATTAACTATTGTCATTTCTATTGTAGAGCTGTGGAAATTGGAGTACAGATCAAAATATTTCCATCAAAACTGTTTATTGACAGAAAAATGGGTTTCAAATTAAACAAAGTATTTTTTTCTCAAAATTCCCATTTTCCATTGAAAATATTAGCTTTTTGTTCAAAAGCTGAACACCCACAACCAGAAAATGTGTGTTTGGAAATTTGAGGGGCCTTATAGGAGTTGTAGCTTGATGTTGTATTTCATACCCTTCATGCTCCCATTGTCCTCTATGGTCAAGATAACCCGGCTGGACTACATCTACCATGATGCATCATGGCTATAGAATTCCTATTATGCACCTCACCAGCTCCACAAAAGACAGGACAGTTGTTTCATGGGAAATGACTGATCAGGGAGCTCAGCCCAAAGAAAAAATGGGGGCATGAGGTGCATGAACTACAGCTCCCAGGAGGCACTGCCACAGCTCAGGAGAATGCAGTTTAATGTGGAACTGAGCCCAAAATTAAATATTTTGATTCTAAAAGGTTGAAAGATTTCCTTTCAGTCAAAAATTTCCAAATGGCAAATTTTCAATTGACTGAAGACAAGTATAAACTAAAAATCTGACCAGTTCAAGGCCAGATAAATAAAAGCATTTACTAGGAGAGTGGTTTTGAAGGCCTGACCTTTGGAGCTCTTGCACATCTGCCGCTCCTGCTGACTGAAGCTCAGCCCTACAGATAGGAGGTGCCACATGCATAACTTGAGGCACACAACATTAGGCCACTTTTGAAAGGATCCCTGCTATATCCCAATGGAAGGCCATGGGAGGGGAGGCCATGTTGAAAGCATGAGCTAGTCGGGGGGGGGGGGGAAGATAACTGAGAGGAGTATTCTCTTCCCTTCCTCATATCTCCAGGATGGAAAAATCACAAGGGTGAGTATTTGAAAGCAAAAAAAAAAAAAATACTCATGTTTCCCCATAGACATGACCTGTGAGTGATCAGGTTACACTTACTAGAGATTACTTTTTTATATAAGAGCACAAGTTTCCATCAGTCATTTGATGGGCTAAACTAAGGGTTTTAGAGCTGGTGATCTACAGGAATGTTCACAATTAAGAGATGCTCATGAACTTTTGAAATTAGTCTTCAGTTAGGGTGACCAGATGTCCCGATTTTATAGGGACAGTCCCAATTTTTGGGTCTTTTTCTTATATAGGCTCCTATCACACCCCCGCCCCCATCCCGATTTTTCACAATTGCCGTCTGGTCACCCTATCTTCAGTAAACAATATGTAAGCCCTGGGCTCTAGATCTCAGCTAGGGGAGTCCAGTGAGCTATTTCTATTCTGGTCTCTAGTTTTTGCTACACAATGGCAAAAGAGAAAAACTCTGCAGATCTCTTCAACTTGGACGAACACCTTTGTTTTCAGGTGTCATATCAGGAATCCCTTGTCCAATTAATGGAGATATAAATTAATGGAGATATCCTATCTCCTAGAACTGGAAGGGACCTTGAAAGGTCATCGAGTCCAGCCCCCTGCCTTCACTAGCAGGACTCGATGACAGTTGTGTGCGTGCATGTGCAGGAGGGAATCTAACTAAGCCTCAGCAATACCCTACTAATAATGAAGCCAATGTGCCTTTAAGGACTCACCAAGGAAGCTCAATAGCAACCATTAATACAGGGTGATAACACTCACTGCAGATCAGCATATAAAAGCTAATTATGAACAAATAGGTCACATCCTCGTGCCTTCCAGTGCCAGAGGGGCACATCTAGATTTCACCTTCTAGATACCTTTACATTTCTTTAGAGTTTCCTTTAGAGCATTATTTTGTTGAAAAAGACTATTGAGTCTCTTTCCCAGCTCAGAAGTCATCTCCTCCAGCTTCTGGAACTTCCTCTTCTCGCACCTAGGGAAGAGTTAAACATTTTCTGTAGTGACGAATGTATGGATATTTCATGCTGGTGAAAGTTGCTGTGTTAAGGGTCCCAGAGTTTCAATTTCTCTGTGTCTCAACCTCAGAAGGCACAGCACAGGCAATGGTTATTCAAGCTTCCCCACAGTGGTTCATTAATATGATTCAACCCTGACATGGGGACACCAGTTGTAGGAATAGGAAGTCTCAATGGTGAGATCACACCTTGGCCTCCAAGCTCTGATGACCAATGCATTCCAAAAATGTATCATGGTTTCTGGGTTGTGCCCAATAAGAACTGAACAAAGATCCCTCTTCTATCTACTCTCCACTTCACTAAAATCTCCAGAAAATGTCAAGTGGCAAAGATCACTACTGACTGAGCCAGGATTGTAACCTGTGATCTAGAGGTGAAAGACCTATATTCCATCCCCAGCATCCTGAGGCAGCTAGGCCCTTAGGGTTGTAAATTACTAATTAATATTTTCCTTCTGACAGGATGGATAATTCCAGCAACTTGTGTGAAAGGACATCTGCCCAGCATGAATCATAGAATATCAGGGTTGGAAGGGACCTCAGGAGGTCATCTAGTCCAACCCCCACGACCACTCCCTAGACAGATTTTTGCACCAGATCCCTAAATGGCCCCCTCAGGGATTGAACTCACAACCCTAGGTTTAGCAGGCCAATGTGCAAACCACTGACCTATCCCTCCCCCTGAAGTTCCACATGGGGAGATCTGTACCTGAAGTGTGACCCTGTCCCACTGCTATACAGTTGGTTTGGGGAGATGTGGCTTTAACATGGTTAAGTGAAGTGTGATTGGGAATGAGAAGGAGCCACATACCTGCTCAAGGTGTTTCTGATATCCTAAAGGGGAAAGAGAGAAAAGGGAGCTCAGTCCCACACATCACACATTGGAAACAACTCCTAATCTCATAGGAACTCACTCTGTCCTTTTTTTTTTTTTTTTTTTTTTTTTTGAGAGTTCCATTTGGCTACTTCACAAATTCAGACACATTTATATCAGGGATCCTAGTGCAGGAGCCCTCCCTTCCCAGCACAGGTATCTGGGGTGTCTTTCACACAGTCTCACCTGCAGGAATTCACTTGCTGGCTGTTGATGCTTCCCCTCCAGCTCACTGATCAGCATATCCAGGTAGGGGAGCTCCTCAGAGAGTTGGATAACATTGTCATTCTGACTTTTCACAATCTCTGTGTCCAGCTCTGCCAGCCGGGCCAGCAGGAGTCGCTCTTGTTCCTCCAGATACTGGTGCAGTTGCTCAAATTCACACACAATACTTCCCTTCATAGTGTTGGTTAGTTTCTGTAATAAAGAAATACAAACAGGGAAAGAACAGGCCAGGGACATAGGGAAAATCAGCGGGAGATGTCATAAATCCCTGGGTGTGAAGAGGAAGGAGTTTTTACAACCCCTACAACCACTGTGGTCACTAGGGGAACATTTTTCCCTTTAGCTCCCTGTAGTGGGGTAGTCCAGAGGGGGCTGTGGCCGGAGAAAGCAGCTTTTAGGCTGAGCTGATTGGGGGAAGTGGCTGCAGCTGCAGCAACACCCAAAACAGACTCAGCTGGCCCTATAAAGGCCAGGGCAGCCAGTGACTCAAGAGTCTCTCTCTGAGTGCAGAGAGAGAAGGGCCTGGCTGCAGCAAGCTAGAGACCGCATACCTGAGTGGAGCAGGGCTGGGGATAGGCTGAGGAGCTGGAGGAGCTCCAGCCTGGATAGCCCCAGGCTGTGGCCTAGAGAAGGCCAAGGGGTACTGGGGGTTGCAGAGGGCAGCCCAGGGCTAGGCCAAGGCAGCAGGTCCAAACCCCCCTTACCAGTGATGAGTGGCCTATACTGCAGTCTGCTGCAGGGAGTGGGGGCTAGTTGGTGACTGGCAGTGGCCTAGTGCTGAGGCAAGGTGGGGATAGTAAGTGGGGGATTCCCTTGGAAGGGGAGACCTAGCATGTGGGTACTGCCAGGGTGCAGCACCCATAGCAAGGGGCATCGGGGTCCTGGGAGGGACACGGGAGCCCAGAAGAAGAGGACAGGTAGATCACCAGCCTGCGTAGGGTGCTCCAGAGGCTGGAGAGCTAATTCCCTAGATGACCAGCAGGAGGTGCTATGGGGGTGAGTCGCACCTGCTTACACTCCCATTTCACCCCTAGTCTTTCTTCAAGAGAGGTTTTGATATTGGATGTGACTAGGTTTCCTTGTTACCAATGCCTTGTGGCAACAGAGTCAATCAAACACACAGAGCCAAATATACACTTTAGAGAAACAAACAGCTTGTATACGCTCACACAGAGACACAAAGGGTGAAAGAAACTAATAGCCAGAGGCCTAAGTGTATTAGCAATACTGCCAACACAAAGTGTGTAAAAGCCATGAGCCAGACCCCTCAAAATTCATGGGATTGTCTTAAATATCTCAAGGTTTTTCAGGGCAGGGGAGTTCCCTTCAGGTTTTTATCTTTTTTCGTTCACATTTCCAAGCTTGTCTCCATAACTACAAGATGCAGGGGTTTACTTCTAAAAACAAATCAATAAAATAACACACACACACACACACCGAGCTTCTCACAAACTCACAGGATTCCCAGAGCTGAACCTTCAAGAAAAACACCAAATAAATCACAAAAGTTGGCAACACTACAAAATCTGATTAACAAAGGAGAGAGAGTGAACTCTCAGGGGGTAGGGGCAACACACAAATTAGACACTAACCCCTTCTTACATCCCAATTGCTGGTGAAGAGGAAAGAGCTGGGATTCTAACTGGGTTCCGTTGTCTTTTGTATCAATTGCCAGCTATGAGGTGTCAGATTAATTTGATGAACCTCCCCTGGTTGCTGAAAGAAACACACACACACTCTCACTCTCTCTCTCTCCATTCCATCCAATCCCAGAGACCTCTGGTTATATGAAGGTTGTTGTGGGTACTGGTGGTGGAGGAATCAGTTCTCAGCTCCCCTATCCACCCCTAAGGTTTATTAGCTGCTGTAAGGCAGGCAACTCTGAGGTACTCTCTCTAGCCTCTGTTTTCATGTCATCCTCCCTACCAAATAGCTCCAGTGCTGCCCTTGGTGCTGCTAACAGCTTTGCCAACAAGAGGCAGATTGAAATAGGTGTGAGTTTTGTCAAGGTGGCTGTTTCCCACAGGGTGAGGAATGGTAGAAGTTATACTTTGTTGTAGTGGAGTAAAGTTCTGAGCAGCAGCTGAGGCACAAGAGATGGCTATCTGCAGACTCAGGCACAGCATCGTGTCAGCTACACTTGGTCCTAAGGGATAGAAACTAGAGCTGCGGGGGAAATGAACATTTCTTTCCCCATTAAATATACCATTTTG